GTATGTATTTGGTGAACAAAATGAAGAATGCTTTCCAACTGTCTCTGACATTCTTCATCTAGGACATCATTAAAATATCCCTTTTAGCATCATTATTTTATCATCTCAATAGTGAAAACAGTGATCACTAATACATTTGGCTCTAAGCAGCTTCTTCAATAACCGCACAAGCAGAGCCTTTAAAATGCTCTGTGGCTACTATTTTAAAGGTTAAATTTACCTTTCACAAAATGTTTAGGCGGTAACATAAAAATGACCTATTTTCTTTATCACCGTGTTAAGGTTCTCCTGCTGTGAAGAGGCACCGTGGCCACAGCACCTCTTATAAAAGGAAGCATTCAGTCAGAGCTTGCTCACTGTTCCAGAAATTTAGTCCGTCATCATCACAGCTGGGATCATGGTGGCTTTCAGACAAACACGGTGCTACCGAAGCAGCGGAGAGGTCTACATCTGGGTCAGCAGGAAGAGAAAGCAACACTGAGCCTGGCTTGAGTTTTTGAAACATCAAGGTTGACCCTAGGTGACACATGTCTGCCAATAAGGTCACAACTCTTTCAACAAAGCATATCCTCCTAAGCCAACTGAAAAAAAAAAAAAAAAAAGCCACTCTGTGATGACTAAGCATTCAAATCTAGGAGCCAAAGAGGACGTTCATATTTAAACTACGACAAAACAGAAAGAAAAATTAAAACAAACAAACCAAGAAAAAAAAAACTAATCATTTTACTGCTGAATGTATGCTGGACCAGTGCTTTTTACAGTATACTTTCCGAGAGGTTTTTAATTGTTAATAATTATATGCAGGGAAAAAAAATATGACCCTCAAAGAAAGCAAAAAACGAGAAGTCCCACATTCTGCCTTACCCCTCACACCAGATGTGCCTCACAATGTCAGGGATGAGTACACCTGGCAGCTGATGTTCAGTGCTTCCAATTTTGCTGCTATTCATAACAATTGACAATCAAAGAACTGCAGTATCAGGCACCCAAGGACAGTCCATCCCAGGTAGAGCCTGTCTGCGAATATGTTCCCAGCTGTGACTCTAGAAATGTCATACTCAGGTTGAAAGTGTCAGCAGGCTGAATGCATAGAGGATAGTCTTTTTTTGTTTAACTTATAGGCATCTATTATGAGAAGCCTTCCTATCTCTCTCATGCAGGGCATCTATTTTTCTTACAGGATTTCTATTTTTAATACTACAATCACTTGTTCAAAGGGATTCAACCTCAACTATGAAAGTTCACAACTGTATTTCTATTTTAATGACTCCATGAATGCCTCCTTTAATTAATCCAGCTTTCTTTCACAGAAAGTGGGACAAAGCTCCACCTAATATCATTTGAAAATAATTTTTTCTTCTGCATAGTAATCAGCAACTTGATGGTAAATATTTATCATTCATGTATATATTTGATACATGCATGTCTATATATCTATAAATCTTAAACTGAAAACAGTAAAGGGCTGGTAATAACTCAGTGGCTAAAAATGCTTGATTTATGAGCACACAACCATGTAATGAAGCACCAGGCATGGCTGTCATTCCAGCAGGGACCAGTGAAGAGAGGAAAGCTCACTGGCCAGTTAGGCTAGTCAATGCAACAAGCTTCTGATTTAGTCAAAGAGGATGCTTAAAGCAAGGTGGAGGGAAGAAACAAAGAAAGACACCACATAACGGTGTGTGGTAATTGGAATGAGAATGGCCCTCATAGGTTCCAACATTTGAATGCTGGTTCCCAGCCTGTGAACTATTTAGGAAGAAGTAGGAGGTGTGAAACTTTGGGGGTAGAGTGTGTCACTGTGGGTGAACTTTGAGACCTCAAAAGTCCATGCTAGATCAAGTAACCTTCTCTGAGCCCTCTGCTTGTGTATCGGACATGAGCACTCATCTACTGCCCCAGTACCCTACCTGCCTGCCTGCTCTGTGCTCCTGACATGATGGCCATAGACTAACACTCTGAAATTGTGCAGAAGACTCCAATTAAATGCTTTATTTTATAAATTGCCTTGGTCATGCTATGTTTTCACAGTAATGGAAAAGTACCTAAGACACTGTGCTATTAATTCTACAAGCACACATGGACACATGCATAGGATCACCCATTTACATGAGCCATAGATGCACACAGAAACTTCTCAAAAAATTTTTAAAAATTAAATTTTGGTGTCTTCTAAAATGTTTATCCATTTACTGATTTCTATTAGTACACATCTAGAATGTGGTATATGACACAGCACATCCCAGGACAAGACTGAGTGAGGCAATATTTTGTAAACATGACAGTGAACGTCAAAGGTTATAAGAAGAAAAAATGTAAATCATGGTGCTATGATAAGAGACTACCTAGCATTAGTAAGGTTATGAAGATTAAAATGAAAGGCCCTATGATATCAGGGAGAGAAGTTATAGTGTCCAAATTATTCTGGAAACATCCATTTAAAATAAAAAGCAATGTTTTTCAAGTTAATTCAGTCTGCATTTGAACAAAAATAAACTTTGATAATGAAAGTACCTATTTTTTTCGTTTGTATTTTGAAATAATATGAATAGGTATTCCCTTGTTGGTAAGGTTTTTAATGTTTGTGATAATCTGTATCATTTGCTAACATAATTAATTCCTATAAGTAGAAAATTTTTACGTGTTGGATGCAGAACTTCTGATTCAAGGTTTTCTTCTTTCCCAGAAAACTTAGTTTTCAGTAATTCCTAAGCCAACATCTGTAACCTGTACCTTATGTTTCATAAATGACAGGAGTCATTCAGTTGATGTTTGCTCAACTTATCATTTTATCATCATGAATCTTGCCAGAAATTTCAGTGCATTTCTGCTACATTTTCCAAGCCTCGTCATTTTCAGTCAGCTGTAGACATTAGCTGCCAGAATGCCAGAGACATATGGATGATGTGTTTAAAAATCACTTCATGTTTCTATAGTGCAGTCTCACCTCAGGAATATATTTCTTTACCAAATGAAAAATTGTAATGAATACTAGACAACTTGAAAACCACTACTTGTCTGCTTTTTCATTGGCTGAATGGTTGATGGCTGCCTGCTAACTGGCCCTGAGTGTCTCCCTCATCTTCTCTTGCCTAGATTCCTCCTCCTGCTTATTCTTTCTGTCTGCTAGCCTTGAATAACCCTCTTCTGCCTAGCTATTGGCCATTCAGATTTTTTTTAGACCAATCAGGTGCCTTGGGCAGGCAAGAGAAAACAAATGCAACACATCTTTACAGTTAAATAAATGGAGCATAAACAAATATAATACATCTTTACATAGTTAAACAATTATTATGTAACACAAACAAATGTAACATATCTTTACATAGTAAAAGTATTATTTTACAAAAAATTATTGGCAGTAGCGATCCCAGTCTCCTGGGGTACCATCATAAGCTAGAAAAAAAGTAATGACAGTAGGTTTGTAGAAACTCAGGGAATTTATTATTTTGCTGCATAATGGAAAGTCTCTATAGGGAGCAGTTTAGATTCAGAAGGCTTTCCCAGTAGAGTACAAATCACATAAAATAATGCTTCCTATGCTACAAAATTATTATGAAATGTTCTGATACTTTTATCTGTTGGATTTTAATAGCCCATACAGTAATGAAAACAAAAACAATATGTTTGTTAAACATTAAAACTTATCTAGTGTTTTCATGTCATGATATTTAGGATTATTATTAGTAGTATTAGTACACATAGCTAAATACAAAAAGAGTATTGAGGATTAGCTGACTGCTCTTAAAATAGTTATATAGGTCATGGCCTTAGAATTGGAAACATGTTCCAAGGGGCTCACAAACCTTTCCTGAGGGATTGCTGTATAGAAATCACTGCTTACAAATTTAAATACCCTTAGGCATAAATGTTTGCATATACACATATAACCTACTATTTTCATATTTGTCTTATTAATGAGTCATAAATATGAGAATTTCAGCTAGTTCAGTATTACATGTATTTTTTTTTACCATCATGAATAAATACCAAGATATCTTTGTTAGTCTCTGGGTTTCTATTTTGCTAATAGTAGTTTATATCTGAAAGAATTATTGCTATACTTAACCTCATCAAAGAGAAATGTGTAAAAGAAATATTTATAGGAACTTACGTGGGTGATTGCTATCTGGTATGAGGATAAATGCTAAGTTATTTGAATGTGAGTATGTGAAGATCAGACATGACTTTCCCATGAATTTTAATTACTTTAAAACGTAGGCCTTGGGCTTCCTGGTTCAG